AAGCTGATGGAACTGTGTGAAGAAAGGAGCTCTCCTGGCAACTTTCAGCACAAGGTAGCTGAGCTTATAGCACTTACAGAAGCTCTTGAATTATCTGAAGGAGAACGAGTCAACATCTATACAGATAGTCGATATGCTTTGGTGTGGGTTGTGGTCCATGACTACCTTGCCCTGTGGAAGAGACGTGGACTCATCACCAGCAATGGAGCGAAATACAACATGCTTCCATAATTCGTCGCTTGATTACAGCATGTCACTTACCTAGAGAAGCAGCCGTGATCAAAGTGAAATCTCATCAATCTGACAAGTCCAAAGAAACTCAAGGAAACACGGCAGCAGATGCAGCAGCTAGAGAAGCAGCTCTACTCCATCCTACTCCTGTTACCCTGGTAAAGGAAAATACCAAGGATAATCCTGAGCTCCATCTTCTGTCATATCAATTGGAGACAGATGAAGAGAAGAACAATGGATAAAAGCGGGAGCGAAAGAGGATGATCAAGGAATCTGGAGAATTCCAACAGGACAAGTAGTGATGCCTATCGGAACAAGAAGAGAACTAATGCAGCTGTATCATGGAAAAGTGCATGCTGGAGCAAAAGCAATGAAAGCTCAAATCAGTGAAACTTGGTGGTGGCCAAGAATGATGAGAGACATTGATGATTATTGTAGGAGATGTTTGATATGCCTCAAAGCAAATGTGGGAAAATCTGTAAAGGTGCGAATGTCACATGCACCTAGACCAACAGGTCCGTGGACACATCTCCAAATTGATTTCACAGGACCTTTGTCACCTAGTGGAGGGTATCAGTATATACTTGTAATCATGGACAGATTTACAAGGTGGGTGGAAGCATTCCCAACGAAAACTTGCACTGCTGAAGCGGCTGCACGAGTGATGGTTGAAGAAGTTTTTCCTCGCTGGGGTCTTCCATATGAGCTCGATTCTGACAATGGAACTCACTTCACTGGAAAACTGATGAAGGAAGCAATGAAATTGATGGGGATTAAACAGAAGTTTCACATTCCATATAGACCTGAGTCTTCAGGCCTAGTGGAACGGATGAACAGATCGTTGAAAACCGCTCTTACCAAGGCCATTCTGCAAACTGGCCAAGGATGGCATAAGTTGTTACCCGCAATTTTGTGGAATCTGAGAGCAACCGAACAGAGTAACGGGACTGACTCCTTTTGAACTGATGACTGGAAGAGCAATGGTTCTGCCTCCTGATGCTCCGCCGCCTGCGGGAACAGGAGGAGACTCTACTTTGTTCCAAGAGAAGTTACGACGTTATCTCACAATGCTGGACAAAGCAATCAAAGACAATAATAAGAAAGTGCGAGAAGCTCAACAGCAATGGGATGAAAAACATACCACTACTGACATTCCACACATTCCCGAGTTAGGCAGTTTTGTTATGGTCAAACGTATTCCCAGGAAAGGTTTAGAACCTAGGTGGGAGGGGCCATATGAGGTACTCTTAACAACAGATACAAGTGTTTGTCTCAAAGGGAAAGGTGTAGGAACAGATAGATGGTATCATTGGTCACAAGTTAAACCATGCTTAGTGAATGAACAAGATGATAATGATGGCTTATGGCCTGAGATTGAGCAATGTTCATCCATTATTTTTAAAGATTGGGAACAAAGAAGTGATGCTAATTATTCCTTTGCTTCCATTTCAGGAATCAATTCCATTGACATTGATTAGAGATGGTTGCAAGTTATTCTCGATACCCAACGATGATGGTATGCTTATTTTTAACTTTACTTGGCATTTGTCAAGAAAGCCACGCTTTATGGACTCCTCGAGTTCAAGAGATCACTCGGAGTGCAACTCTGAAATCTGGTCAACATTTTACCCTACCCTTTATTTCCAGATGGGGATTATGGGATTGGGTGCCACGTAATGACACAGACCTTGCTAAATATCGTAAGGGCATCTATGGAGGATGTAACTTTTACCACCAATGTTACAAAAGCAGAGTAATTTGGCCGGTAAAAGACGGGGGTATACTGGTAGTGCTCAAAGACGAGAATTTGTGCAAGAGAACGATGTGAAGTTATAGGGTTAAACCTCATAACATCTACTAATGTGGAAATTAATTTAGTTCTGAATCGTACCCACATGCTTACAATATGGGATTCATTGGCCCAAGGGTGTATTTATCCCATAGGGTTGCCATGCGAAGGGTTTCTGAGGGATCCTTCCTCAAAAACAACAAGATTTAAAGGAAATTATGTACGAGTATGGCATTCAGAAGATGAGAGTGAATATTGTGAGACTGAACTAGAAACTGGCGAAATCGGAAGGTGTTTTTATCTTTCTGCGGAGAAGACAAACAAAGCAAAAACATGCCCAAATACAACCATTGCACCAGCTCATGGTATTTTGTTAGCAAAAGAAACCAAAACCTTGATAAATGAAGCCCATATGGTGCAACAACGAATTAATTATAACTTGAATTCTCTTCTTACCGTTTTTGATCAGTCTTATTGTGGTAATTTTTACACAAATAAGAAGTTGGTTGGGAAAAGAAGTTAAATATTACACCTCTAAAAATCCTCTGAGTAGAAAAAATCGTAAAACTCGAAGTATATGGGGAGATATTGCGGGGGTATTTGGTTCTGTCAATTCAATCAGTAATACTGCTCAAATGAATCAGTTAAGTAAATACACTCAGTGGGTGGGAACAATGAGTGGGAAAGGACTCACTGAGGCTCTTCAGGGTTCTCTGCATATTATTGCAGCGGGTCAGCATCTTAATGATGCTGCAAAGGAATTGGCAGATGCATTAATAAAATCGTCTGATTTTGAGACGCATCGTGCGGCGTGTTTATTTTTAGCTCAGAATTTAAAGGATCAAATGGTAGAAGATATTCAAGTTATTCGAATGGGACAAGTTCCTGAGCGAATAGCAGAATCATTGTTAGTGGTTTTCAGGAATCAACTTAATTTGACTTCTGCTAAACATATTCCATTAGTTAAAATCGCTATTAATGAAAATTCATTGTCAGGTTCAGGAATGTTACCTTTGATTATGATATGGCCTCAATATGGGAAGCGTAATATTATGACAGTCAGGAAATTCCAATCAATGGGTGTTAGGCAAGGTAATTCAGTAATTAAATTAGGAAGAAATGGATATTGGGCTGAAGGTGATACACCAATGATTTCTACCACAGACTGTTGTGTCGAGGAACATGAGTGGGTAATTTGCTCATGCTCTACAATGTTTAGTCTATCTCTTAATGGTTCTGCTGTTTGGGATGTAGTTCCTTTGAGTCAGGCCACAGGTGCATGGCAACTTTCAGAAGCGCAGTGGTGTATATTACATGATGGAACAAGTGAAAATATGATATACGGGGGAAAGTTGTGTCCAATCCCTCCTGATCCATTTTGTCTTGAAATTCTCTATCCTCTTCATTTGGGTGGAATTCATGTTCCACATGTGCAATTGTTACAGGTAGAACCACAATGGTGGAATAATGACTTAGTAGAAGAACGGAATTATGAACTCTTTGAGATGGTTAAAATAGTTAGAAAGAGTGTAAAAGCAGCTCAAGACGAGGGAATTCAAGCAATGGGTCATGTTATTGTAGCAAATGGAATAGCTAAATTGATGTCTGAAAAGAAACTAACACGAATCCTAGGGAATTTATCGTGGTCAGATTGGATAGTTTTGATCATGGTAGGAGTTCTTGCAGTCATGTTCATGATTCAAATTATGATATGTGTTACTAGAAAAAGAAATACCAAATCTGTCAAACTGATTATTTCTAACCAAATGGATAAAACCAAGGATGGAGTATACAGCGTGAAATAGGGAAATGTATGCATTATTCCTTACAAAGCATTACCTCACAAACAATGAACACCCGCTTACTGATTCTCAACCCCAAGGGATAGGACCCTTTTACA